TTTTCTCCAAAAGGAACCCTGACCACCACCCCACTGAAAGTCAGCTTTTGCACCTAGCATATGAGCCTGCCTCTAAGTTTGTGATTTCTGCCTCCAGACTGGAAAAGGATAAATATAGGCAATATCTCAGGGTAGCAGCGGCATGCCCCCTGCTGCGAACAGATCGGAACTGCAAATCCTCATTGCTATGTTGTGGAACAAACTCTCTCTCTCTCTCTCTCTCTCTCTCTCTCTCTGTGTGTGTGTGTGTGTGTGTGTGTGTGTGTGTGTGTGTTTGTGTGTGTGGTGTTTACATACGCATGCACACACACATGTGTTTCTGAGAAAGTAGTGGAGTTCAGAGGCCCTGTCTTTTAGATCTCTCTCTCTCTCTCTCTCTCTCTCTCTCTCCATCAGCCCTTGGGCTCTGTTAGTCTAAACATCACATTTCAAAGTGAGAACTCCATCTCACAGGACCAGAAAACACCCTGAAATATATGTAATATGTTCCTCACACCTAACAACAAAGACCCATGTGGCACATCAAAACCTAGCCAGACTTAACGTGGCCTAGACTTTCATAGACTTCTCACTTCATTGTTTGGAACAAACCCACAAAATTTTATAAAACAATATGGTCCTTAAGGTGCTACACAAGACCCTTTGTCACTCTTGGTATGACATGCAAACAGACCTACTGCTGGGTCATTTCCTCCATAAATATATATACCATATGCATGTAAAATAGAGATATATTTGGCTAAGAGTCCCTCATAAGCCTTTCGCTCCATGAACCTTCCTGGGTAACCTTAAACCATTCTTTTTTTTTCTCCCAGTTCAACCTAGTGACAATAAAGTGGGAGGAACAGAACCATTTATGCCACTTTGCACTGATTGAAGGAAACTCAAGACATGACGGTCAATAAGTAAGAAAGAAAGAGGAGGTCCTCTGAGGCAGAAGGCCATAACATCCAAGAGTGGGCCCCCAGTAATCTCTAATATGGATCCCATCACCACCACCCCACATTCTGTTCTCCACACGGAATGATTATTTCTCACATACCTAAAATACTCCAATGCCCAAAAACATCATTTCACTTAAACATTGCACAATGAACAGTAATACACCTCCCTCCCTTCACACTCCTCCTGGGGCCCCATAGACTGAACAGCTCCCGGGGAACCCAGCTGTCATCTTTTTATGTCTATCAAGCTTATTTGCTATGTTGCTTATACAAGGGTTTGCTTGCTTTGACAGAATGATTCCACATGATATGATGCCAACTTGACAAGAATTGACATCGCCAAGGGTAAAGTGAGTGAGGAACTTCCTCTCCATGGAAAAAATGAAAAAATAAAGAATCTTTCAGCATCCTAATAATTTAAAAAAAGGCATTCTGTAGCTCATAACAAAAAGCAAAACGCACAAAGGAAGCAGTAATGTATCCCACCTTAGGAAGAGATGACCCTGTCACCTTTGCTTCTGCTGGCCTTGCCAGGTCTCAAGGCATTGGCTAAAGTCTCTGGAAACTGAGCTGGAATTAAGGGCCAGCATCCAAAAGAAGTTGAGAGCCACTTGAGAAGAGAAGTTGGCGAGGCAGGCACTGCACTTTGCACAGCAGCATTTTTTGCCCTGGGGGAGTTTTGCATTTCCATTCCGGGGCCATTTGGAAAGTGCTCCTGCTGCTTTCATGGAGTCCCAGAGTCCTGGCTGATTTGCAGACTTCCAAAGCACACAGCTCCCAACTCCAGCGGACAGCTGGTAGCTGGAGGTAAATCATCCCAGCCTTGTTGGTGTTCATCTTCTTCCTCTCTTTTCCTTCTAAGCTGGCACTTGCGGTGAATGGGTAGAACTCCTCAAGGGAACACATTTGAACCACACAAGGGCTGGTGCTGACCCTGAGCCTACTGTGGGGGAGTGAGAGGACTTAATGATCAGTGTTTTCTTCACTCCTTAATTATCATTTGAATTATAATTCCTCTTCCAGGAAAATCCATTCTTTTTGGGATGAGAAATAATCTGAGGACATAAAAACGAAGAACTGTAGAGATGGAAAAGGCCTTGAGGGTCATCCTGTCCAGCTGCTGCCGCCGCCACCCCCCACCAAATCCACAGGTATCCAACCTCCATTTAAAGCCCTCAAACAAAGGACAGCCTACCACCCACTGAGGTACGCCTGCTCCCCTGGTGAACAACACCTACTGTCAGATGTTCCTCCTCATGTTTCACTGGGCCTTCTTTCCTGTGATTTGAATCCATGGGTTTGCATCTTATGTTCTAGAGAAGCAGGATATGGTGCAGACATAGGTGGGCAGAACTACAAGCGTCACCAGATGAGAAGCTGATTCTTTATTTAGAAGCAGTGCATATTTGAGAGGAAAAGACTGTTTCTTCTAACAGGAGCATGCCTTGGTCCAGGTTTGGAAAATTAACTTCCTTTTGATTTGTAACTGGATAGCCATGAATTAGCATACAAATTAGCATGGTTTTATTTGCATGTCTGATGTCTCCGGTGCTTAGCTTTGAAAGATTTGCATGCCTGCAAGGACAACATAATAAGAAATATACATTTGCTTTAATGGATGATCATCTGATCTTTTGTTGCACAGATCCTGATGGTCTCATTCTTTAGTAGCCAAATGATACTTCTGAAAGGTTTCCGCTGGGCCCATGAGATGTAGCAACATACTTCTGGATAAGGGGAAAAATGATTTTAGGACAGTATTTCTGCTATAACTTATATGTTATATGCAAACCTCTGGATACAATTTCCTCCGTCTGGTCACCCGCTCTGTTTCTCACCCATCCAGGGTTTGATCAGCCAGGGCAAAGATTAATGTTAAATAAAACTTGCCTACTGCCTTGATGAACAGACATGTATCCTCCCTTTTCCCATCCATATTTTTGTCCTTCTCAAAGGAAACCTATCACCAAAAGTACCATCCATGGCAGGCTGCTTTAATCGCATTTCAGATTAATCTGGTGAGTAGATGGAGGGAAGCTCACTCCATCTATATAAATGAAGCAATAATTAGCTTCAGTCTCCAGAGGATATGAATCCCTCTGGGTGCTGTTTCTCTCCCCTCGGTGAGATCTCAGAAGGATGATAGATCTCTAAAGTGCAGCATTTTCCTGCTGGGCACAATCCGTCTCCCATCTTTTGGGGCAGTAATAGCACCACTGTGGTTTAATAACTCTTGCCAGTCTAATATTTCTCTGTAAAATTCTTCCTCCATCAACTCATCCTTCTTTGCTCTCCTCTATGTCTTTTGCTAGCTCCTTCTTGTTAGAGCTCTCAGCAGTGCTTAAGCAGTGCTTCTGCAGGGTGGTTTATAGGCAGGGCTTGGGGATATGGCCCCTTCCCACCAAAGGGGATTTGTGTATAAATTTAGGCCTTCCATCAATTCTTTGTGTCATGTAGAGACTGCAGCTCTTTCTATGTCTCTTTTTCCTCCCCGCCAAGTGATACACAGTTATTTCAAAGCTCTGTGCCTGAACAATCAGACTCGTAAACAATGTCCATCTTCACCTCTTAGGGCCAACCACAAAACAATATGTGCAATGAGACAAGCTCCTGCTAACAGAAATAGATGCCTGTTACTTCTTCAGAGTAAGAAGTAACAGCTTTGCATCTAACTAGGTGCTAACTATATTGTTTGTCCAGGTTCTTGTCTAGTAGCCACCACATCATTCTTGCGGCTACAGATTCTGTGCATAAAATGAAGTGTTTTCTTTATAATTGTCCTTCAGCAAGCTATTTCACTGGGTCTTAACGTATTGTCAAGATACTGAATGAGCAGAAGCAGGAAAGGGGAAAACCTAGAACACAACCACAGCCTCTCCACCCCCCCTCTTCTGGTGACTTTTTTTTTCTTTTTTTTTTGCATGGGGCAAAGTTGCAGAGAGTTCCATCACAGAGAGAAACACGGGTTCAAATCCTTGCTGATCTCAGTGGATACTTTTGGGCCCATCACACTCTCTCATCCTAAAGCCTACCTCACACAGTTTTGTTGGGAAAGGAAAAAGTGGGACCCATACCTTGTGCAGTGCCCTCAACTGTTTAAGGAACAGCAGGATAAAGACAGTGTGTGTCTTAAAGCAAAATCTCTTCTAACACCATTCCTAATGTTGTAAACTTTCAACGCATCCACCTTCTTTACAGTGCAACCTAGACACATCTACTCAGAAGTAAGTTTAGTGAGCATGACTCTAAGAAAAGTGGGTATAGGACTGCACCCTTGAAAAAAAAGACCAACTTGTTAAACTATTACAAAACCATTCTGCTCACTTAATGTTTTCATTACCTTTTCACTACCTTTTTTCTCTACCTTCTGAACTCACATTGGCCATGAATTCCATGGCAAATCAAGCTCTCTCAGGCTCAGCTCTCCACCTCAGGGCATTACAACAACCAAATACCGCAACCAAACACTAAATGAGAGAGTAACAGTTGGATTCTTTCAAAACATCTCTTCCAAAGGCACGCTGCTTCACGGCTGCAGTGACAATACGGGAGCTTGAACAAAAAGTATCTCAGACAAGATTGCAACATGTTTTTACAGGACAGAACTTTGACACCGGACTAGATGCATGGCTGATATCTTTCTGGGCCTCCTAAGATGATCCAGTCAGCAAGAGAAGTTCAGCAGATGGAGCATTTCCCATGTCACAGTCCTGCAGTGGTTTGGAAAGCTGCACTTGTTGAAACACACCCATCTGCCCTAGTCTTCAGGACAGAAGAGAGCCTGAAAGGTTGGCCACTTGGTAATAGAACTTGACAGGGAACATCTGGCAAGTCTATGTTCACCTTGCCAGCATCCTTTAATGAGCAGAAAGCGCCACCCAGTGGCAAAAAATTGCACAGGAGAGGAGGAGCAAGGAGTTAATAGCATTTCACTTCAGCCTTCCTTTCCTGGATCAAAGTATTAGACTCCATTTCGCATCCAGAAGCAGCCAGCTGGAGGCCACTCCTTAGAAGCTCACTAGACAAATAAGAAAGGACAGGTTCAATACAAAGTGGTAAAGTGGGGGAAAACAGGTTCAGTGACTTTATTTCATTTTCATACTTTCTGGACTAGGAAAAAGCTGGTGGCAATGACAACAACGACGAAGATGGAAACAGTATGCAGCTTACACCTCCCATGTGATGGTATTTCTGTAACACAGGATTAATTTGCAGGATCCGTGTGGGAGTAAATGTAAGTGAACCCCCCCTTTCCAGGATGACTCCATCGATTAGCGGAAAAAGGCCAGGCGCTCTTTCAGCCATTGCTCCGTCAGATCTTCTGTGGAACGGATCTCAAAGACCTGGTAGTAAGAAACCAGGAGTTAGAAGGAGGTGGAGGAGGTCCATTCAGATCAAGAACCTTTTCCTGCCTTTCCAGGAAGCAGAAGGGGCTTCTTGCAGAGACACTGCTTAGAGAAGAAACTGGGAAAGACAATGCTATTGACTCCTTCTTCCTTGTTTATCCTCTGCACATACTCTCTCCTGCTCCATGAGATGGCTCTGCCTCTACTAGGCAAGGTGGGAAGTTTGAAGGAGAAGAGAGACATTTCAGCCAATAAAAGATAGGAGGCAGATGTCAAGGGTGCCACTGAACTGACAAGCTACAGCATATCTTGGTCTTCACTGCACTTCACATGCATGAACACGGAATGATTGGTCAAACCACCAGTTCAAAATTTCATAAACTGGGAGCATATGTGACTGTCTCCTTTTTTTGAAAAAGTGTAGTTGGATTCAAAATCAGCCTTCTTTTTAGAAAACTGGAATGGAAGTTAATCTGCCAACAAATGTGGATATGACAAGACTGTAGAGAAAAACTCATATGCAAGGTTGCTGTCTCACTGACCACTGGCCTTAGACATGGCAGTGAAACATTGAAGTAGCTGCCTTTTCTCCCACTTGTTCACTCTTGTACTGCTTTTGTTTGCTCTTCTCATCTACTTGCAACTTTGAATGGGACTCTGTGGTTTTTCCACCAATGGCCAGAGAAGACAAGAATAAAGGGCACAGACCCTTCACTTTTCTTGAATCAAATCGATGGTCCATCTGTTCCTGTGTTTCCTACACTGACTGGCAGCAGTGGTTGGAATCTTTCCTATTCCTACTGAGTGATGCTGACATTGGACCATATTACATTTGGTATATAAAGTAGGTCCCCTTTACTGCTGAACAAGGACTCTTCCATGTCAAAGATCTGAAAGCGGTCTTTCCACCAATACAGGAGCTTGTCTGAGAACTGCATCAAGAACCAGCGGTACCCCAAGCAAGAAAATGTGCTAGAGTCTAGGGCAAGCCAGAAACGGGCATGGAGGTAAAGAACACAGAAGAGAAACCAATATATCATCTCCAACATCACTGGGAAGTTTGAGGTATACATATATTCTAACAGTGGGCGTATAAAGAATATATGCTAGAGTTCTCATTCCCCCAGCCACAACCAGGACCAAGAGCTCTCCCTTGGTCTTGGTGATTTGTGCAAAATGCCTCAAGTGTCTTTTCCCTTTTGGGAACAAACCACAAAGAGACAGCAAGTACAGAGGTTAAGAAAAATGCCAGCAACACATTTAGTATTTCTGTTTCCTACATAAAGCCATAGCCATTCTAGTCTTCGGCAATTTGTCCAACTGCACATTTTTTTCCAAAACTGGGCCATTTTGCTCAATAACTGGCACTTTGCTCAAAACCATGTTCTTACCAAGGCAAGAACTCTGTTGAAACCCTCTGGTAATCAAAGGTGGCCAGCGTACGCAAGGACAAGTCAACCTAGGACCAGCATCTCTAGTTTTGGAAATCTGCAACCTAACGTTCTGGGAGAAGAACTGGAGAAACAGAATGGGACAGTCCCAAGAGAAGTGAATGCTGACAGAGTAGAAGGAGGAAAACAATCCCTCCAAAGAGGATAGGGAGAAGAGCCCAAGGGAAACGTGGCTGGAGTACCTTGGTGAGTTCGGCTGCCTGCACCAGCCTGTTTTTGCTACCAGCATACATCATCTGCTGCTCAGGCTTGCACCCTGGGAAGACAGAGGAGAAAAGAGTTGCTTCCTTTATTCTTATTCATTCTTGGATTTGCAAGGGGTTCTCAAATTCACAGCAGTTCACTAAGATGGGAATGAAATGAGCTAGGGGAAGGGAGGAGGAGAGGAGGGGAAGAGAGAGAGACAGGGTACAGTACTTCCTAAATTCAGGGTGGAAGTGAGATCAAGGAAAAACAAAAGAAAAATTTTAAGAAGACAAAAATGTTGTGGCACCTCAGTCTTTAACTGAGCTTTTGTGGACAAATCCACTTCCTCGGACATCAGATTCTTATGTCTGAGGAAGTGGGTTTGTTCACTAAAGCTCACATTAAAATAATGCTGTTACTCTTTAAGATGCCACAATGTTTTTGTTTCCCTTTTTTTTAAAAAAAAATTCTCTTTTCTTTCCTTGATATGCCAATACAGGCTAACACGGCTACCTGTCATCAGGGAGATCACAGAGATAATGTTCTTAGCGTCTTTGCTGCACTAGTGCTATAACATGCACTATAAACTGACTGTTTCAAGAAGCCTTAATAACCAGCCATGTCATGTCCAAAGGACATCCCTGGGGCAAATGTCTGAACCAAATACTACAGGTTTTCTATCACCACCCCCACCACCCTTTGCCTTTCTTCTCACCAAACTCATGCCTATCATCAAGTTGGAATGGAGTCAGGGAATTGGCATCACCACCCCCCATGCTCTCTTGTGGAAGTCACTGGGTCTCACCAACAGGGCTGGAGAAGATGAAGCAGAGTGGGTACGAGATCCGACCATCATCATGGATATATTTGTAGCTGTAAACAACAAACGTAGATGCACACACAGTCAAGGAGACAAATGAGCATTGCATGGATGTTAGACAGAAAGAATTGGTCTTGCTGGTCTTCATTTGGAAGAGATAAGAGGAAGATTTTCATCTCTAGTTCTGTTAGGGCTCTGGAAACTGCTTTTTCACCCCCTCATTGACAGTTGTTTGCTATTAAGATCTTCTTCTCACTCCAAAAGATATTTGATACACTAATTGTGCAAATAGGAAGTACCTCTCATCCATCCCTTTTAAAAAATCATCAAGCCCACTAAAAAGCATAGATTTGTGTGGAAAAAATGTATGACATGCAATGTAGTCCCTCCCCCAATAGCACAAGGATATCGAGGCTGCCGTTCTGGGAGCTCACTTCTCAGTTCCTCTGGAGAGATATCCTATAGAGAAAGATATTGAAGGTGCATTATTTTGACAATGGCATATAGTCCTAGGCAGCAGGAAAGAGAATACTTCCCTCCCAACCAGCTACATTCCACAAAAAAATGCATAAATTCAGAAAAACTGAATTAATGTTTGAAGATGGCAAGATAGAAATAATAGCTGTTACTTTGTTTGATGAGAAATAGGGTATGGAAGAATAAAAGTTAAATATATGTGAAATAAGTACATTTGCACCACACATTTACATAAACATTTCATACTAAATTCATGGGCAGAAGGTGAGCTTCCCTCACAGGGAATTTCCTTCTAAATGGGTGGATTGTACAATCACTTTCAATCCTGCCATTGCTTTCAAGAATACAAAATCAGGGCTGGATATGAAGAGGAAATCTTGATTCAATACTCTGGGTTGTAGGTCATCCTGTTGAGAGGGGAGGTGTACAGACCATATATGTCACTACTGTAGCTCTGTTCCATCTTTTTTTTAAAGCACCAACCATACCAACTCCTAGCTGCAGGGAACTAGTATTACAACAATTGATTCCCACTCCCCCTTTGGCAAGTGGCTGGGTATCAAAGCAAGGCCAATTCAGCAATCAAGCTCTAAAGGGAGAATATTAGGTCAACGCCATATCCCTGCATATCACTTTCATACCCTACCCTTCCACTAACTCAAGAGGTGAGCAACTATGCCCTTCAGAGATGTTTTGGGCTTCAATCTCCCATAATCCCTTACCTTAGGCTATGGGGGCTAGGACTGACAGAAGACATAGGAAAGTGGGGGAAAGTACCTGGAGGACCACAATTGCCCCCTCCTTTTCTGAAGAGTCCAAAACAGCATAAATGTTATTCTTGCTACTATCACAACCCTGTGGTGTCTCATAGGCATCCTTCAGTCTCGAGAGACTATGATAACATGCTCTGTATGGAGGACTTGGAACCGCATCTATTCAACACTAGACGCTATTCCAAGCTAAGCTGGAATGTCCTCTCCAGAGCACGAGGCCTGGGTAAAATAATATGGAGGATAGGCTATTACCCAAGCAGCAAATCCCCCCTCTCCTCATCGCTGAAATAGTCCAATGGAACGGCAAGAGCCAATACAAATGGTTCCAGCAATGTCACAGGAGTTGCCAGAACGACACAAATTGCCTCTGGGACTCTGGCTCCAGATTTTGCCTTGGGGTTAACTCCTGAAGCCTTTTCCATCAGTGGATATAGCCACAAGGCAGTGGAGGTTTGAAACCAGAGTTTTCCTTCTCCTAGATGGGCTGCCTTCCCAGGCTGATGAGCCCCACCTACCCGGCCTGCTCCCTCAGGGCATGGATGGCGCCTGTGGTGTAATGTAGGCTGAAAGAAAGTCTAAGGCTATTCAATCAACTTTGCAGTGAAGCAGAAACCTGAACCCAGGTCTCCCCACTCTATGTAAGGCCTCGCCCTGGCTGTCTCCTGTCAGATGTGATGCTCAGCTGCTGAGACTTAAGGCCACCTGAAAGGCAGGCAGGTGACATGTGTCATTTTGATCTTTCGCCTCAGGTGCCAAACTCTCTTTAAGGCTGGCATTTTGCTCCTAACAGACCAGACTGTTGCAGCCAGATTGCCTCCGAAATGCTAACCCTTCCTTCTCTCTTCTGACCATGTTGTGAGGGAGGATGCCCTGGTTCTGCATACTTCTACTGATGGAACAGTTCTTACCTTTGATGCAAGAACTTGATGCAAGCTCTTTCTTGTTTTCATTAAAGGTAAAGGTAAAGGTTCCCTTTGACAATTTTTGTCCAGTCGTGTTCGACTCTAGGGGGTGGTGCTCATCCCCATTTCCAAGCCACTGAGCCAGCGTTTTGTCCGAAGACAATCTTCCGTGGTCACATGGCCAGTGCGACTTAGACACGGAACGCTGTTACCTTCCCACCGAGGTGGTCCCTATTTATCTAATTGCATTTGCATGCTTTCGAAACGCTAGGTTGGCGGGAGCTGGGACAAGCCAAGGGCGCTCACTCCGTTGCGTGGATTCGATCTTATGACTGCTTGGTCTTCTGACCCTGCAGCACAGGCTTCTGCAGTTTAGCCCGCAGAGCCACCACGTCCCTGTTTTCATTAAGTGCCATCAAGTCACCTCCCTTATATGGTGATGTCATGAATGAATGACCTCTAAAATGTCCTGTCCTCAACAGCCCTGGACATTTTGGATGTCACTCTTTCATAGGGTCACCATGCGAGCTTAGAGGGAATGAGAACCCCTCTAGCCTGACATCCTCAGCTATCAGAAGGATCAGAGGGATGTTAGAAAGACAATCCCTCTCACTCACATAGGAAGCTCCTGCTCCCCACTGCCTTATGGTAGCTACTGTTTTTGTCTGAAGGAAGGGGCTGTTATTTTCCACCAAATTAGCCATCACAAAATCCTCTTTAAGGTAGTCACACAAGCTTCAAGAACTCTAAAACAACCCACCTGTTCAAGGAAGAGAATGAACAGAGTCTTCCAGTGCTTGAGGTCAAGTAAGGTACCTAGAAGGATTCAACATCCTCACTGCACAAAGCTCCAACTTCTGCTCCTCAGAGCTGGGAGATATACTCCCAGAATCAATTAACTGTATTCCAAAAAAGAGGAACATTTCTGAGCATTTGTGTTTCTCTCTTGAGGACATGGTGGGCATAGTATACTGTGGAATGAATTTAAGCTGGTGAAGTAGGCAGATTAATAGAAGTGCCCTGCTAAAAATGCAAAAGCTGGTCTTCCTTTGCTTCTCTTCACTCTAGCTAGCTGGGTGAATAGTCAGGATCCAGTTTGGGAGCAGAACTTAACTCATATCTGAGACCAAAATTCACTATCCCTTGTTCTCAGCCAGGTATTCCTCTTGAACAATCCACCTTGCTAACTCTATTAAGGAGCTTCAATTTCCTAGCCTTTTTACTAGTGGGAAGCAAACATTCCAAGACCAGAAAAGTAATACGTACATGAGTATTGATTTCTCAGGTTTCCATTTTGCTCAGCAAACTTTGCTAGTCATATAGTATTTTATAAAGATGGATGTGGAGTGAGGTGCTTTGTGGAACCTCTGCGCCTAGTTTTTACTTTTGTAAAACACAATGGACCACAGATTCCATGCAGCCATTTGATTAACATTTCAGTAACTTGTGTGAGGGTTGTATAACATATTGAATTAAATATGAAAGCAAATGACGCCATCAGTGCATGGTTCCCATGAGATATTCAATTTGATCTGAAATTCAATTTGCTTTCATCCCAGCTTCATAATTTCTAACACACTGGCTAAATCTATTTCAAGAATGCAGGAATGTGAAATGGAAGCATTGATGCAATTTCCTCTGGGAAAAGATGATGTCGCTTTATGTCACATCAAGGCAGTTGCTTAAAACACCGGAAATTCAGGTTTTGGTGTGTGCTTAAGAAAAGTGGAAACACTCTGCGTGTGTGAGCACGTGTAAACATGTATGTATATGTGTCCCCATGTGTGCAGGTATGTGTACAAATGCGAGATGGAAAAGAGAGGGAGAAAGAGAAGGATAGAAAGGGGAGTTGATGACATTTCCCTCCCACTACTAACCAGATTGTATCACAAAACGTGTATGTTTACCCTTACAGCTTCCCCTTTGCTACAATACTGTGATGAAACACATCACAGTCTTGTTTTATATTTGTCTGTCTGTAATACAGACAATTACACTTTTTCCGGGGGGGGGGACACATTATGGATACAGTTTGTGGCTCTTTGTCATTATAACCAGCAAGCTTTAGAAAACCCGCTTGTTTTTAATGTGTGGAAATTGTAAACAAAGAGTTACAATGGTTATTGTGGGTTTTTCAGGCTTTCAGGGATCTAATGGACTACCATTAGATCACGGCCATGAAAGCCTTTGCACATTCAAAGAGTTACAACTTTGCCACTTTAACCCTGTCTTCTGTTCAGCATCTGAAGACCCTGATAAGTCAAATTAAGAAGAACTTTCTACACTCCATATGGACTTGTGATCAGAGGGATTGCTTACCTTTCTTGGCACCATGTGGTCTAGCTCCTCCATCTCACTAAACTCGTCTCCTAAAATATGCCCTGGGGGCTACCCACTCTTTGGTGCATGCAAAAAAATACATCATATGTATACCTCATATCTATTGTGCATTTTGGCCCCTGAATCCCAGTCCAAAAAAGGTCTTGCTCCAATCCCAGGCTAATGGAACTGCCTCTTTTCCACTGGTAAATCTGAACTATAGTTTTAAGATGAGGTAGTCATTGATTTTTCAATGGGAAGAATTATCCTCATTTTAAGTGGGAAAAAGGGATATATGAGTTCTGCCTACCTGCAATTCTTCCTCCAGCACCACCAGTTGCTTGTCTTTGTCAATCTTCACTGAGGACATAGAAGAGAGACACCTGTCAATGGGCATTCATCCCAGCATTTACAATACCAATGCATCAAAATCTTTCTCAGATTCTCCAGTCCCTCATTGGCAACTGGAAAAGAATAGGCCCAACAAAAACTCTGTGATCCTGCATTGATAGGTGTGCTCTGTCATAATCCAGTCATTTCATCCAGGGTCAAATATGGGATGGGGAAGCAGGGGTAGCATGAAGGCTGGTAACTCACTAATTATAGCTGCGTTGTTAGTCTCCTTCCTGAACCGGAATTTCTTCAGTTTTTCCTTTAGCTGTGGATCCACATCACACACAACCAAAGTATCTGACTTCATGTAGATATGTTAGAGCAAAGAAAATGAGAAATCAGTTTACAGTTATATATAATTCAGGCTATTGTTTCCTAAAGGATGTATGGTTTTGAGGTACCACAAGCATAGTCATGTCTCTTTTTTTCTTAAAAGACAAATAGTAGTATAACATTCATATCCTCTACCAAAAATAAAAAAGATAAAAAATACATCTTTTCCACAATCCTACTTCCAGCTATAGTAACACAGTTTTAAGTACAGTATCTACTTGCCTACATTTTTCATTTCACTTGTTCATCTCTTCCATTATTTCCCTAAGTCTGTTTTAGATTCTACGGTCAAAGCAAAAAACTCTTGCTGACATAACTTGAAGGCGCCAGGTTTGTGGGGAGTGCACTACAAATGTGTACATTGACAGTTCAGCAGAATATTACCTGACATGATCACAGGGTTTCTCCAGAATTCAGCAGATCACCTGTAACAGCCCTTAATCTGAATACAGGGTATCTTCCAGCTAAGACTATTATCCCCAACAGAAGTTTGCCCACCCTCTTTTAATTACTTTAAAAACAGGATATCCTGTCTCCTCCTTTGGTAAACTCATTCTATACAGTAGTTTCAAACTTGTCAATTCTTATTTAAAACACCACACCACCCCTCCAAAATATCCTTTCATTGTGAAACGCTGATCTGGCAATCCAATCTGCATACAACACAGAACGTTCATGTCTGTCAACTGTCAATATGGGGCTTCCAATTTGAGCCAGACCACAAGAACTGCCTCTCTTGAGGTTCCTAAGGCAAGACCATATTTTAGGGGAAGACACAATTAGAAATCCCGTGCCTTGAGATGATATTTCCTCCTCTTGGGTTGCTTAATTTCCACAGGAATAAAGACAAAAAAATAAGTAGCAAAAAACAATCAAAAAACCCCATCAATTTGAAAGATTTCAGAAGAGATGACACAGATACAGTACAGAATCTACCCACCCACTCCTCCTGACCCCAAGTCAAGAACTGCTGGAGCTGACCATTCTGTCTTGGATGTCTCCACTCTTAACCCTCCTTCAGCTGAAACTTTCTAGCTCTGGATTCAGAGCTCTTCCTTCTGACCAGATATCTTCTTCGTTATTCTGTTTAAGACTCTTTCTGACAGTTGCAAAGGAAAGACAGCTAGGGAGGAAGTCACTGGCAACCGTAGGGTGGAGCATAGGGAGATGTGAAAAGGTCTGTATTCTCAGTTGCAAAAAAGGGGAAATGCTGATAGGAAACAGAGATGACACCCACCCTATGAGATGTGGGAGGGAGTCCTACAGATAACTGTACTATTCAGCAGGAGCTAAAAGAGGGAGTCAACAGCATGCCTCAGTTGCAAGCCCAGTCCAAGAGGTAGTCATGAAGAGCAGTTCAAAGAAGCAAGCCTAATTGCCTGCCTATGGGAAGATAGAACCTCTACCACAGCAACTCATCCGCATATTTTTTGAGGAGGATGGGTTAGAAAAGTGCCATCCAACGTTGAAAGTCTGATGGGTCCTGGAGGATTTTCTTGCTAAACAGATCAAGGTGGGTCAAGAATGGAGAACCACAAAGAAATTCATACACAGGAGACAGAAGCAGTTATTCTATTTAACTATTCTCTCTTCCTTTACTTATCCCACCTCTCTCCCAGAACTAAGACACTCACAGCAGCTCACAAGTCTTGGAACAAGACACAAATGGAAACAGAAAACAGATACCGCACTGCCAAAAAGCCAGACAAAAAGTGATACAACACATTGGCCACAGATTATCCTATGAAAATTGCCACAGAACAAAAAGCAAAGGTGTTAAATAAAAAGAACATGGTGTTAAAAAGTTACCAGTATCTTCCAATTAAAATCCCCTTCCTCAGCAGCAGATCAATCGTGGGAAGCCTGCCTGAATGAAGGCTCCTTCACTGCCCTCCAGGGCTGGAACGACACCTTTGCAATCACATGTGCAAAGGGGCATCGGCCCCTGAAATTCACCCAAGCACAGGAAAGTTGTGGGTTTGATAGCAGGGAGGGGGACTCGAGCTGCGCGTCTTGCAGTCAAGTCAGACTCAGCTCGGGCGTTTTTTCCCCCAATGACTTAGACAACTTGCAGCTTGCAACCGACCCAACTCTCGGGGGTGGGGGGAGCTTGTTTTTAGGAGAGACTCAGCCTTGAGTCTTGGGTCTCCGGACTGGGTACTGAAGACTCGGACCCAAAGACTCGCTCAGCTCCCCACTGCCTCGTTTGTGCCTTCCTGGCACAGGGTTGTTGGGGAGATCTGGCAAAGCGTGCCTGGCGGCTTCAAGCCCAAGGGATGGAGCCCTGGAGAGACCAATGTGAATCATTCATGGCGATCCTTACGCCGGCCTGGCCTGAGGAAAAGGAAGGGGGATGAGGACACCGTGCCCCTCCTGCAGAGGGAAAGGATGTCCTCTCCCCAGGGAGCAACCAGGCCCACCTGGTAGATACAAAACGAATTTCAGGGTAGCAAAAAAAAAAAAAAAAGTCCTTTGACTGACCAGGAGGGAAATGAAAAACACCCCAAAGCAATTTTGGCCTGCTGTAAGGTCAAAATAAAACCCAGGCCGAAATTAAAATTAAAACCAGGCAAAGCAGACCTCTTCTCTCTCTCTCTCCCCCTCAGGGACTGGACTGCCTGAGATGGAGCGGTTTAAATGGATGGCTGTGCCATTTAAAAACCTTTTAAATGTGGGTTTCGGAGCTGCTTATGTTTTCCAGTGTGGTATGTGCTTGATCCTTTCTAAAATATTGGTGCACGCACCGTCGTGAGCTTTAAAACACTGTATTTTTCTTCTTGTAAGACACCTCGGGTCCTTTTGAAAGAGGAAAGGCGGGGTAAAAAACCCACGACATTTTAAATAAATATATTCGGCGAGCTTCCATAATTTATTTATATTCACTCTTCGGCAAGCCAGACGGACTGCACTGTATTTCGTTTCACTTTTATTTTAATATCCCTTTTTTTTTCTTTTTGGAAATGGTCATGGGGCGGGGGGGAGAAGAATCTGTGGGAACTGCGACAGTTTCTGAGGTAAAAAACGATGCACGCCCGCTCTTCATTATTTTCTATGCTGTCTGCAGTCGGGGCCTGGACTTGTTTGTCGGTTCACTACAGTATTTCTTTTCCACTTCTAGTGTCCCAGGCCAGCGCCCACCGAAACGCCACCGCCGTGAGCGACTTCTACTTGCAGGACTGAAGGCGGACGAAGGCCTCGGGGGAAGGGGCGTGGCGTGAGGAGGCGCTTTGGGCGGGAAAAACAGAAGGCCGGGGCGTGGCCGCCGCTGTGAGGGAGGTGAGCTGGACGGGGGGAGGGGAAGCAGCTCCGAGGCCCCGCCTCTTTGCTCCCCCCCCTTCTCCGGCCTCGCGCACTGGTTTTCCATCCGCTCATTGGAGGTGTGGGGAGGAGGAAATACCTCGCGCAGAGCCCGCCCCCGCCATCAGGTCATTGGTCGAGAAGGGCGGAGGGCCGCGAAGGGGAGAAAAGGGCGAGGAGAAGGCGGGATTAAGAGGAAAAGACAGCACTCGGGATTTTTTATTGAGGGGGGTGAGTTTCCCCTCCCCCGAATCTTTCCCATTGGAGGTGGGAGAAAAAAGCCCGCTGATTGGTTCCAGAGGTTGTCCCTCGGGCCAATGGCAAAGGGAGCAGGAAGACGTAGGGCGCGGGGTGGGGGGGTAGGAGGAGGAGGAGAACGGGTGAAGAGGGTAAGGGAGGGGCGGGCGCGTCAG